AAAGTAACACTTACTTATACTTTTATAGGGCCATTTTTAACAACTGAGATGCTGGTTATTTTAACAGTGAAAAACCAGAGGAAGGGTCACTCCGACACCAGTGGGGATAAGCGAGTTCTCATGAGGACATAGCAGTCCCCGTGAAAGGCGCCCCTGCGACCCACCGGGCACAGTCTGACAAGTACAAAGGATGATCACACTGAAGGTAAAACGCGGCATGAATGAAACTCCCGAGGCATTAGCCAAACAATAACAAAGCAGAACCCCAAGGAAACCAAAGAGATCCACTGTTTTACCATCACAGGAAACAAGAGCCACTCTGCTCGGAAAACCAGTAGAAGCGTCTTTAGAGAAGAAAGCTACAAAAACAGACTGTTGCTGTGAGCCACTGGCTGGCTCGCCCCCAACTGGTGGTGTGTTGTGGACAGCAGAACAGAGGGCTGCCTGCTCTTGGTGGCGCTATGGACCGCTGACCACAGGGAAGGCAGCTGAAACCCACCAGCTGCTCGGTGAGCCTGAGTCCTGCAGAGAGTTAGAGATTCAGAAAGCTCCTGCTGGGTTGCTTTAAGTAGCACGGCCTCAGTGGCAGGGAGTTTGGTTTGGGATTTTGGTTCTCTTTGATCCTGTGCCATCTCGTGCTTGGTTGCAGGTGGGACTTGTCTGAACCACAGGACTTTCCCTGTCTGAGTTCTGGAAAGACACTGTCAGGCCTTTCTTCTAGAAGCAACAGGCACACCTCCAATGACAGACAGCGGCTGCTCCTCAGACGCGCAGGCTAGGAAGAAGCCGTATCACTTAAAAACCACGACTGTGCGGCCTCAGGGAGAGAAGGAATTCAGAGAGGGTCACGAGTGGGTTCTGAAGCCATGACGGTGAACGGTTGGCATTTAAGAGTCTGCCGTGATGAAGCCGAAACCACCAGCAGGGGAGCCTTCTGACACTACGTGTCTCTTGATGGCATTTGATACGGAGAACTCAAGACCACGCATGGAGTACTCTTTTCAAAAGTATTTTAACTGAATATAATTAGGTCCTAGACTAACTTCCCAGTTCACAGGCAATACAAGGGAGAAGAGAGTCAGTTAAAACCCCATCACACGCTGAGGACAAAGGGGGTGCATTAGCAAAAGTGGGGAAGAAAGCAGATGGTGCCTGGCTATCAAATGATACAGCATCAGGGGTCTTACAGGCTT